TTTTCTCCCAAGGGCCATTTGAATATTTATAATATCATTCTAGGGCCCTAAAAATTACCAACTTAAAAATTAGCCTGCTCTATTTGGTCAAACATTTAATTAACTTACACCAAATCATTTCCCAGGCCTTGTGTGTCCTGCCATGTTCCCCACCTGTGACTTAATCCTTTAACAATTAGGAGTTGATATAGAAAGATAAGTAATGAAGTAATTTCTGTGATCAGGAGGTACTTTGGAGGTAACCATGGTGGTTTCTTCTCTCTAATCATTTGTGGTTGCTCTAAGAAGCTGAAAAAAGGCTAAAAGGGATAAACACGGAAGGAATACTTCATGGCAAGAAACCTGCCTTTCCTCACCATTTGGGAATGTAGTTAACCATTTCTGTCACTGGAGAAAAAGGTTGAGCACTAGAGAAACTCCTGCTGGGTAGCAAAGTTCCTAGGATAGGTCTCTGAGGCTTGGGAGAATGAATACACATTCATAAATATAAGGGCCAGCCTAGTGTGAGGGAGTGTGGCAGAATAAATGCTATAAATTCAGTGCCATCAGAGTGGCTAAAAAGACCTTAGATGTCAGGATCATTAGTGTTCCCATTCAGTTTATTCTAATCCTGGCATAACTCTAGAATCTGATTCACTTTCTTCTTTATCCTCACTGTCTTATGCCCTGGCCCAGGCCACTACCCTCTGCTACCTGAATTACTAAAATGGTGGAAGTTTTCTTACTACCCTGTCCTTCCAGTTAATCTATGTTCTTTTCTCTCAGATATCTATGCTTCTGATTCTTTATTTCCTTCCCCTACTTAAACACTTTGGTTTTCCCCCCTCCTATTGTTCTTTAGAAAAATACATAGCCCAGTCTCACCCTAATGTATCTCTTTAAGCTCATCACTTTTAACTACTACCCACAGGTCAGTATACTCCAGTCAGACTAAGTGTCCCACCCATCCTAAAACCTCAAGTCTTGTTATCTCTGTTTGTTCTCTGCAAAAGTTTAAGTATTATCCTACTTAACACATGAGAAGGCTAGATGAGGTTCAGAGATAATAAATTATTCAATATAGCAGAATTTATGATTAGACAGCAGTTGAATCCAAATATATCAATAGCCAGGAATGTAAGGATGGTATAATATCTGCAAATCAATAAACGTGATACATCACAAAACAAATTGAAAGATAAAAATCATATAGTCATATCAATTGATGCAGAAAAAGCATTTGATAAAATCCAACACCCTTTCCTGATAAAAACTCTTAACAAGGTGGGAGTACAAGGATCATACTTCAACATAATAAAAGCTATATATGATAAACCCACAGCCAACATTATACTCAATGGGAAAAAACTAAAACCATTCCCTCTAAGAACAGGAACAAGACAGGGATGCCCACTCTTGCCCCTCCTGTTTGACATAGTACTGGAAGTACTAGCCATTGCAATTAACAAAAGGAGGAAATAAAAGGCATCCAAATTGGAAAAGAAGAAGTAAAGTTATCCTTATTTGCAGATGGCATGATATTGTACATAAAAAAACCAAAAAACTCAATTAAAAAAACTAATTGACTTAATAAATGAATTTGGCAATGTAGCAGGATACAAAATTAATGCCAAGAAAGCCATGGCATTTCTATACACCAACAGTGAAACTACAGAAAGAGAGACTAAAAAAGCAATTCCATTTACCATCGCACAAAAAAAATTAAGATACCTACGAATAAATTTAACTAAGGAAGTAAAGGACCTATATGCAGAAAACTACACGACACTGAAAAAAGAGATAGAGGAAGATGTAAGGAGATGGAAGAACATACCATGTTCATGGATTGGTAGAATCAACATCATCAAAATGTCCATACTTCCTAAAGCAATCTATAGGTTCAATGCACTCCCCATTAAAATACCAACGACATATTTCACTGACCTAGAAAGAACTCTCCAAAAGTTCATTTGGAACAATAAAAGACCCTGAATAGCCACAGCAATCCTGAGAAAGAAGGGTAAAGTAGGAGGGATCTCAATGCCAGACTTCAAACAGTATTACAAAGCCACTGTTCTAAAAACAGCCTGGTACTGGCACAAGAACAGACATATAGATCAATGGAATAGAATCGAGAGCCCAGATATCATCCCAAATCACTATGCTCAATTAATATTTCACAAAGGAGGCATGAATATACAATGGAGTCAAGACAGTTTCTTCAATAAATGGTGTTGGGAAAATTGGACAGACACACGCAAAAAAATGAAACTAGATCACCAACTTACACCATACACAAAAATAAACTCAAAATGGATACAGGACTTAAACATCAGACGGGAAACCATAAAAATACTAGAAGCATCCACTGGCAGCAAAATCTCAGACGTTTGCCAAAAGAACTTCTTCACTGATACTGCCCCTAGGGCAATGGAAGCTAAAGAGAAAATAAACAAATGGGACTACATCAAAATAAAAAGCTTTTTTACAGCAAAAGAAACCATCAACAAAACAACAAGAAAGCCCAAGGTGTGGGAGAACATATTTGCAAATAATACCACTGATAAAGGTTTAATCTCCAACATCTACAGACAGCTTATACAACTAAATAAAAGGAAGATGAATGATCCAATTAAGAAATGGGCAATGGACCTAAATAGAATATTTTCAAAAGAAGACCAAAGGAAGGCCAAAAGGCACATGAAAACATGCTCAAAGTTACTAATTATCCGAGAGATGCAAATCAAAACAACAATGCGGTACCATCTCACACCTGTCAGAATGGCCAACATCAACAAATCAACAAATGACAAGTGTTGGCAAGGTTGTGGAGAAAAAGGAACCCTCGTGCACTGCTGGTGGGAATGCAGACTGATGCAACCATTGTGGAGAACAGTGTGGAGTTTCCTCAAAAAACTGAAAATGGGCCGAAGCTGGTTTGGCTCAGTGGTAGAGCGTCGGTCTGCGGACTGAAGGGTCCCAGGTTCGATTCCGGTCAAGGGCATGTGCATTGGTTGCGGGCACATCCCCGGTAGGGGGTGTGCAAGAGGCAGCTGGTCGATGTTTCTCTCTCGTCGACGTTTCTAGCTCTCTATCTCTCTCCCTTCCTCTCTGTAAAAAATCAATAAAATATATTTAAAAAAAAACAAAACTGAAAATGGAACTCCCATTTGACCCAGTAATCCCATTCCTAGGAATATATCCCAAGAAACTAGAAACACCAATCAGAAAGGATATGTGCACCCCTATGTTCATAGCAGCACAATCTACAATAGCCAGAATTTGGAAACAACCTAGGTGCCCGTCAGCAGATGATTGGATCAAAAAACTATGGTACATTTACACAATGGAATACTATGCTGCCATAAAAAAGAAGGAATTCTCATCATTTGCAGCAACCTGGATGGAATTGGAGAGCATCATGCTGAGTGAAATAAGCCAATCAATGAAAGAGAAACACCACATGACCTCACTCATTTATGGATAATAAAGAACATTATAAACTGATGAACCAAAAGATAGATATATTATAGAGACCGTAAAGCAACAAGCAGACTGTCAAATTACAGTGGGGAGGGGAGGGAGATCTGGGGGAGATAATAGATCAACCGAAGGACTTGTATACATGCATATAAGTACAACCAGTGGACATAAAACTCTGGGGAGGGAGGGTATGCATCAGAGGGAGGGGGGCAAAAAAAAAATAAATAAATTAAAAAAAAATATATCAATATGTCTTCTTTTGATTTGTGAGTCTTTTATATTGCTGTTAATTTTACTTATTTAATACACCATCTTTTGTAAGTGATATTCTCTGGGAAAGCATTATATACTCTCAAGTTACAGGTGAAGATGGTATGGGTTCCATGTTTAACTTCATTATTTCCTAGCTGTATGATCATGAACAAGTTGTTTAGCCTCTCTAAGTATTGGTGTTTCCATTTAGAAAATATGGCTATTAATAGTACTTCCTTCATAGATTCCAAAAGCATGCTCTTGGTTTTATAATTAGCACCTTCCCTGACACAGAAATGGATTATCTAAATGATAGGAATCATTTATCATTGATTTTGTTAACCACTTAAGGTATAAATTAACACATATTCATCGACTACTTATATTAAGAGAGAGAGAGAGAGAGAGAGAGAGAGAGAGAGAGAGAGAGAGAGAGAGAGAGAGAGAGAGAGAAAGAAAGAAAGAAAGAAAGAAAGAAAGAAAGAAAGAAAGAAAGAAAGAAAGAAAGAAAGAAAGAAAGAGAGAGAGAATAAAGTCCTTTATGACCAGCAAAAAAAGAGCATCCACTTGAAGCCTGGGGACAAGGTTTAAGATTATATTTATTAAATAAAAATATTAACACCAAAAAATGCTCTTTGAATGTTGATTAACTGGAATTTATGATAATAAGCACTTTTCCCTCTGTAGCTTAAATTTTGAAACAGAAATGTACACTGGAATTAATATTCCTGTAGAAAAAAAGGCTCTGTGTGCTTGATTAATAATTTTGAAGGACTTATTTCATCACCAAAATTTAGCCCATTCATATTTTTCAGGTACCTTTCAGAAAGTTCAGTGGGCATTTTCCTCTGTCAACTAGAGAGCCCCAGCTGGCTTTGACAACAGCCTCAGTAGCTAGGGGCTATTATCATGCCCCTCTTTCTTTCATTGGCGATTTGGACCATCTTTTTCTGAGAGATCCAATGCTACATCCCACCTCCACATTGATTAATCTGTTCATTTATTACACTTTCAATAGTAAAAATATATAGACTTCAGTCATCTCTGGAGATGCTGAAATATTCCCCTTTTTCTTCTTGGTTTAGGAGAAGGTAGAGAGGAATGATATGTGCAGAGTATGATATAAATATATGAGCTCAAATATCTAATTAGCTGCACCTTTGACAGAATTGCAGCTGTCAGGTTGTATCTCCAATATTTTATCCTCATTGCAAGATGAATTTAAGGATGGTTTATGAAAGACACTTTCTAAAAGACACATGAACACCACTCTGCTTATTTTGTAGGATGCTTGAGGACGACCTGAAGCTGAGCAGTGATGAAGATGACCTTGAGCCTGTGAAGACCTTGACTACTCAGTGCACTTCCACTGAGCTCTACCAGGTAGGAACAGCATAGGGCTTGGTTTGGGACCTAAGGGGTGGGGGCAAAAGGAACTGGAATGGTTTTATCATCCACAAGCTTATTCCCTGCTGGTCTTCGGTGAGAGGGAAAGAAGCAAAGATAAGCATATTATTCTGGAACAGGTTGGATCAGCTTACACTGCCATTAAAATTAGAGTCAAGAGATGTAGAGCTCTTGAAAACTGCTTTCATCTTTTCCCTCTATTTCCTTTTCAGCATACACAATATTCATTGCTAGTAAGCAATTGAGATCATCTTTCCCTTTCTTGGGCTAAATATTGTCTTGAGTGAGCTATAACTTTAGTAACTTCAGTGTGAGCTTTAGAGCCTGTGCTCATTAATTAATTAAAATAAAACTGTGATTACTCCATTCACCTTTCCCAGGAGTGCCACTGCAGAACACAGCTGAGAATCAGTCTCATGAAATCATGCAGCTTTCATGAACCTTCAGGCAAAATACATTTGGCAAAAGTTTGCTGATGCCTTGCAACTTCCATTCTGTGTTACAAATATTTACAGTACTTACTATTAAACTAGATGGCACAAATATGTGTTTTCAGAAATTCCAATGAAACTGGATTCTTGATTTAAAAAGGCCAACCATTGTATCTTTTATAATTCACTAGATGCCCGGTGCATGAAATTTGTGCACGGGAAGGGGAGGGGGGAGTGTCCCTCAGCTCAGCCTGCACCATCTCAAATCTGGGAACCCTCGAGGGATGTCCAACTGCCCATTTAGGCCTGATCTCAATGAACCTAAACCGACAGTCAGACATCCCTCTCACAATCCAGGACTGCTGGCTCCCAACTACTCACCTGCCTGCCTTCCTGATTGCCCCTAACCGCTTCTGCCTACCAGCGTGATCACCCCATAACCACTCTGCTGCTAGCCTGATTGATTCCTAACTGCTCCCCTGCCAGCCTGTTTGCCCCCAACTTCCCTCCTCTGCCAGCCTGGTCACCCCTAACTGCCCTCCCCTGCAGGCTTGATCACCCGAAACTGCCCTCCATTGCAGGCCTTGTGCCTCCCAACTGCCCTCCCCTCCTGGCCATCTGGTGGTGGACAACTTGTGTCCACATGGGGGCAGGATCTTTGACTACATGGGGGCAGCTATCTTGTGTGTTGGAGTGATGGTCAATCTGCATATTACTCTTTTATTAGATAGGATAAGAATGGCAAAGTAGTATGTGGTATCAATGAATGCTTGTGTGTTTTCTCTGTGGCAGAGAACTGTATTGTGTGTGGGGTCCTTCGGCTGTGCTTGTAACCTCACATTAGGAACACAGAAGGACTATCTTTTAAAAAGTTTATTGGCCGAAACCAGTTTGGCTCAGTGGTAGAGCGTTGGTCTGCAGACTGAAAGGTCCCAGGTTTGATTCCAGTCAAGGGCATGTACATTGGTTGCGGGCACATCCCTGGTAGGGGATGTGCAAGAGGCAGCTGGTCGATGTTTCTCTCTCATTGACGTTTCTATCTCTCTATCCCTTTTTCCTCCTTTCTGTAAAAAATCAATAAAATATATTTTAAAAATAAATAAATAAATAAGTTTATTGATTTTTTTTAGAGAGAGAGAGGAAGGGAGAGGGTGAGAGAAAGAGAAACATAAATGTGAAAGTGAAACATCTACCAGCTGCGTCCTGCATGCCCCCTAATGGATATGGAGCCTGCAACCTGGGTATGTGCCCTGACTGGGAATCAAACCAGCAACATCTTAGTACATGAGATGATGCTCAATCAACTGGGCTGCACAAACCAGCACTGCCTTTGTTTTTCAACAGCCAATACCTAACAAATTTTTTTCTACAGTGAAGTCCACAAGTTTTAAAACTGAAACCAGACTGTTTTAAGAAATGCTCATACACTGGTATTTCAAGATGTTAACAAACATGAAATCCCATATCACTAAATATTTTTTGATGAACCTGCAAAGAAAAACTTAGGAAAAATTATCAGGGCTCACCTACTCCATTCTCATCTACAATTGTTTGTCACACCATAATTCCTACTACACTGCATAATTTTAAAATTGAGCACATCTTCCATGTTACATGGACAATACGTTTCTCTCTTTCACTTCCTCCACTTTATTATGCTTACATTTTTTGAGAGTAAATTTATTAAAGCTGAGGCAGCCTGGCTGGTGTGGCTCAGTTGCTTGGATGTTGTCCTGTGCACCAAAGGGTTCCTAGTTTGATTTCCTTTCAAAACACATGCTCAGGTTGTGGGCTAGTAGAGGGCATGCAGGAGGCAGGCAATCTATGTTTCACTCTCATAATGTTTCTCTCTCTACCTCTACCTTTGAGAGGGCAGTGCAGGGTGAGGATAAACTCCAGACTCCACTGTGGGGCAGGGCAGAGTTATCCTCCATTTTGTGTAACTGGACCCTAGCCCTCACCCAACCAATCAGGGTCAGCCAAAGCAGTAACAGCACCACCAGTGTAAAACCCAAGGGCTTGGTGAAATTCAGTCTCTCTTCTGCCATGCTGTTGGCATGAGTGGGACAGAGCCCATGCTAGCATGGAAGAGGCTATTTTGTTTATTGCATCGGACTCCACTCCCTGGTGGTCCTTGGGGATCACGAAGTCTGGACATAACACCTTTTCCTCTAAAAATCAATAAAAAATAAAGCTGGGAACAGTGAAATAAGGAAATGAATAGCATAGAAGAAGCAACAAGAGAGAACCTAGGCCTGCTGCTTTGGCTCACTGCAAAGTCAGAGAAAAAGGTTCTTGAAGATAGGCTCGGTGTGTTAGTCCTGGATGAGCTGCCACTTTCCATTGATACCCTGGTTGCAAGTTTCCTGAGGACACTTATAATTTAAGGGATGCATGGCTGAGAGAGAAGAAGAGTATAGGTGTGCTCAAGAAATGGAAAGTGCTATTCATTTTTATAGTATATAAAAACTGAATCTTTGCAACTTTGGTGCTTTATCAAGAATAAACACAGTTGTCTCCCAGGGGTTTACAGTACATTTAATATACAGAATACAAGCAGTCCCTCTCCTACTTGAGTCATGGACTTAAAAGCAACTGTAAAATGCACATTTAAATTCCAATGTCTGCCATTCCTGCCTTTTTGCATTTAATATGCCAATGACAAGAGCACTGTATTGCTAAATAAAACAAAAAATCTAAGATAATTCATTCTTACCGATACAACATTACCTTTTAATGGAAATGTTTAAACAATGTAAAAGTAGATTTGCTCATGGACTTTCTCTCTGTATCATTGCATATATGCAATCTGCATCTTAGTTTCTCAAGTTGTCATTTTCTGTATTTATCTGGAGAAATGGCATACAGTCTGCTGTCCTTGGATCATCTGGGTTTTTAGCATGTATGGAGTGACTTTGTGAAACTGCTGCCACTCTTGGATATTCCTAGTTGATGAGTTGGAAGCTTTTTATGGCAAGCTGCCTTTGATCAGTCATGACTTCCTCAACAAAGGTTATTATTTGAAGGGGGTAAGGGATTGAACTAGAATATCTAAAGTAAGGCAAGATGACAATTTATTTCCCTTAACTGGGTCCAGGAAGCAAGAAGTGGGCACAAGGTTACAGATATTTGCAAATGAAACCTTCTTATAGAGTTTGGGGACTAGTTAAAAGGCTGGAAGTTTAAAGACCAAAAGAGAATCTGTGTGTAGTAATTTTTCTGTTCTGATAAAATTCACATAACATAAAGCTCGCCATTTTTAAATATACAATCCAGTGACATTTAAAACTTTCACAAGACTGTGGATCCATCACCAGTTCCAGATTATGTTCATCACCCCAAGAGGAAATCCTACATACATTAAGTAGTTGCTCCTAATTTCCATATTCCCTTTGCCACTGGAAACTACTAATCTATATCCTGTCAGTACGGATTTGCTTATTTCATATAAATGAAATCATAAAATGTGTGACCTTCTATAACTGGCTTCTTTTACTTATTATAATGTTTTCTAAGTTCATCCATGTTGTAACATGTATCAATACTGCATTCCTTTTTTGTGTCTAAATAATATTATGTTTTATGGATCTACTACCTTTTACTTATCCATTTATCACTTGAACATTTTGGTTGTTTCCACCTTTTAGCTATCTGAGGATTTGTATCTAAGTTTCATTGGCATACATGTTTCAGTTCTTTTGAATTTTATCTTTCTTTTTTTTTTTCAATTCTTCCACCTAAAATTAAAATTGTTGAGTCATATAGTAATTCTATGATTAACTTATTGAGGGACTGCCAAAATACTTTTCTTTTTAGGCAAAGTAATATAGTACCATGTAGATATTATAGTTAATTTATCTAATCTTAAAACTGGGACCTTCATACTTCTGCAACATCAGCAGTAGTGCTAAGAGCTCCCACTTTTGGAGTTGCCCTTTCTCTGAGCCAGGCATTAAGTCAAGGTTCTCTGTTTCATTTGAACCTTGCAGAAAATGTTAGATGCAAGTTTGGGCCTCTTGTCTAAGCTAAAACATTACAGAATCATTTTATTTGTGGCAGGATGATTGGGAGAAAAGCATACAAACAAATGCATTGGTGCATTAAATCACACCATTGGTTGGAGCTGACATTATACTTAGAAAATTTCCCAAAACCTAGTAGCTACATTCATACAGCTATACTGCAATATAAAAGCTATTAGATTTCTAGAGATATCCTCAACTTATCTCACCCATAATCATTGCACCTGGATTCACCTAAGGAAACCCAAATAATTCAGATTTATGAGTACACACTACTCTTTTCCAAAAAGCTTCTTCTGGGACCCTATGCTATGGCTTGCAACATAACAAATTCAAAAGGAGTGGATTTCAAATGCATGTATGAAAATGAAATACAAGATGAAGACATGTTAATTTCTAATTTGACATTTAGTCCCAGGTATTTCATAATCAGAACAACTTCCCCTCTACCTGTCCCCATTGGCATCCCCAAAAGCAGTATAGCCATGCTAAACACAAACACCAATAGAATAATTAGGATGTG